GAAGCAACGTTCGTTCCGATGAAACTTCCTCGACTCTGCGTCTGTATTTGGTATTGGACTGAAGTTATTTCTGTAATTTAGTTCACCAATTAATAGCGGACATTTTAATGCAACGTTCGCCATAAGGTATCTTCCGGCGAATGTAATGCCTCAATATAGTTTCTAAAAAGGAATTTACGAACTGCTAATGACTATAATCAGCTATTCCTTGACTAGTCTGCGGATCTTTTTGCGTTACGGTAAAGAAGATTAATTGCATACTTCCTCGAGCATCAGGTTTCAAAGAATCTTGCTCTCAATTTTTCCCACAAACTAACTTTTGCAAACGAATATGGGAACATACATATTAACAGGACCACTATCAAAAATAATATGACAGTATGATAATATGATAATGTGATAATATATGATATTATAATGATAATAATATATATATGATATATAATATAATGATAAAATATATATGATAATGAGATAACGTAATAATGTGATAATGTGATAATGTGATAATATGATAATATGATAATATGCTAATATGCTAATATGATAATATGATAATATGATAATATGATAATGTGATGATATAATGACATGACAGGTTGACTATATGATACTTATTAATCCCTTGATCAAAATCTGGTTCGGAAGAATGATATCATTCTTCACAGAACAAACTCTTCTAAAACAAATTCTAGGAAAATTCATGGTAACAATATAGTGACAACTATATAATCAACAGTCTCTTAATTTATTTATGGATCCCTATGTAATACAGTAACAGAAATGAATAGTATTCCTGCTTGCAAATTATGTTCCAAAGGATGTTGCAGTCAGTGAATTAAATTTTCCCACAATCTAGCTTTGGCAAAATGGTGCAAGACCAAAACTGGTCAAACTAGACATACCAAAAAGGTTTATTGATGACTGCAGTCAGTTACTTCCTGTCCAATCTATGTATCTCTCTGCATCACGGCAATTAAAATGAACAGTTATTCTTGCTTGCCGATCAGGATGAAATAGAGTCTTGTATTTACTGAATGAAACATTTTCCACAATTTAACTTTTACAACAGAATCGATGGAAATCTGTATCACTAGCCTAGTGACAGCTATGCAACTAAAAACATATACTATTTTTCCTCACCAATCAGATTTAATTGAATCTTTCAAACAATGAGCGAAAATTTTCTCACGATCTACTGTTAAAACAATGTCCATAAAAATAGTTATAACTAGTCTAGTAACAGCTATAATTAGCAATACCATTCTATCTCATTCTACCCATCACCCTACTACGTCACAACAACAACAACGTCATACTATTGGGTTGACAACTAAGTAATTGCCGATTTCAGTTATAGATGTCTCTCACTCCCATTTTTATGATATCCGTAAATGTTATATTATAAAATTATTATTATTATATTATATACTGGGCTTCGACCGCTTATTGGCCTGTCTCTTATACACATCTAGATGTGTATAAGAGACAGACTATTGGGTTGGCAACTAAGTAATTGCCGATTTCAGTTATAGATGTCTCTCACTCCCATTTTTATGATATCCGTAAATGTTATATTATAAAATTATTATTATTATATTATATACTGGGCTTCGACCGCTTATTGGCCTGTCTCTTATACACATCTAGATGTGTATAAGAGACAGACTATTGGGTTGGCAACTAAGTAATTGCCGATTTCAGTTATAGATGTCTCTCACTCCCATTTTTATGATATCCGTAAATGTTATATTATAAAATTATTATTATTATATTATATACTGGGCTTCGACCGCTTATTGGCCTGTCTCTTATACACATCTAGATGTGTATAAGAGACAGACTATTGGGTTGGCAACTAAGTAATTGCCGATTTCAGTTATAGATGTCTCTCACTCCCATTTTTATGATATCCGTAAATGTTATATTATAAAATTATTATTATTATATTATATACTGGGCTTCGACCGCTTATTGGCCTGTCTCTTATACACATCTAGATGTGTATAAGAGACAGACTATTGGGTTGGCAACTAAGTAATTGCCGATTTCAGTTATAGATGTCTCTCACTCCCATTTTTATGATATCCGTAAATGTTATATTATAAAATTATTATTATTATATTATATACTGGGCTTCGACCGCTTATTGGCCTGTCTCTTATACACATCTAGATGTGTATAAGAGACAGACTATTGGGTTGGCAACTAAGTAATTGCCGATTTCAGTTATAGATGTCTCTCACTCCCATTTTTATGATATCCGTAAATGTTATATTATAAAATTATTATTATTATATTATATACTGGGCTTCGACCGCTTATTGGCCTGTCTCTTATACACATCTAGATGTGTATAAGAGACAGACTATTGGGTTGGCAACTAAGTAATTGCCGATTTCAGTTATAGATGTCTCTCACTCCCATTTTTATGATATCCGTAAATGTTATATTATAAAATTATTATTATTATATTATATACTGGGCTTCGACCGCTTATTGGCCTGTCTCTTATACACATCTAGATGTGTATAAGAGACAGACTATTGGGTTGGCAACTAAGTAATTGCCGATTTCAGTTATAGATGTCTCTCACTCCCATTTTTATGATATCCGTAAATGTTATATTATAAAATTATTATTATTATATTATATACTGGGCTTCGACCGCTTATTGGCCTGTCTCTTATACACATCTAGATGTGTATAAGAGACAGGCCAATAAGCGGTCGAAGCCCAGTATATAATATAATAATAATAATTTTATAATACATTTATAACTGAAATCGGCAACTACTTAGTTGCCAACCCAATAGTTTTCCTGGTCAATGAGAATACGAAGAATCCCGCATCGGCAAATAAAATGCTTCCACTTTCGAGAAAGGAATCAACGAGAATTGAATATTCACAGTGAATTGACCACAGCAATCGGCAGTTGCTTGGTCAATCCACGGTACCAATCGGCGACTGTGTTTATTGGGCACCGTGGCGGATTACGGACACGTTTCTCGTTGGCGGGAAATCGTCGAGCGAAGTAGGCTTACGTAATAAACGACCAACAGTGGTTATTACGCGAACAATGCGGTACGTACTCGGTTCCCGGTGCTTCCGGTTGAAAACTTTTTCTCGTGGCCATCCTCGCGCGACGGCACCGCGTAGAAAGTGTATTTTAATTGCGCGCGGAGAACCGTTCGCGGCCCGCAACGAGAGAAACACATGTACAGAGAAAGAGAGGGAGTGGGGGAGAGAGAGAAAGAGAGAGAAAGAGAGAAATGGAGAGAGAGGAAGAAAGAGAGAGAGAGAGATGGAGTGAGAGAAAGAGAGAGAGAGAGATGGAGAGAAAGAAAGAGTGAGAGAGAAAGAAAGAGATGGAGAGAGACAGAAAGAGAAAGAGAAAGAGAGAAAGAGAAAGAAAGAGAAATAGAGAGAAAGAGAGCGGGACAGAGAGATGGAAGAAGAAAGAGATAGAGGGAGAGAAAGAGAGGGAGAGAGAGAGTGGGAAATAGAGGGAAAGAGAGAGAAATGGAAGGAGGGAGAGAGAGAAAGAGAGAGAGAGTGTGGGAGAGGTGGAGAGAGAGAGAGAGTGAGAGACGCGGATGACGCGAGTGATGACGAGCTACTCGACCATGTTGGTATCATTAGACAGGTGCCCCCAGGGTCGGCGGGGGGGGGGGGCAATCGAGGCTAGGGAAGTTTAATTTCATTTGGTTTTTTGTTAACACGCTCGTGCGGCAGCTAACCAACGGGCAAATAACGCTAAATGGGACACTAAATAAATATGAGGGTATATAACGATCGCGACCATCGACGATCGACCGTAATTCGGTCTTGAATTACTCGGCCAAGCGATGGAAATCAATTGAAATTCCTGTCCGACTTTGAACGCCAGAGAAAGGTGGACTTAAGTGTTGCCCGTCGTCAGATTTCCACGATATCGCCCGAAGAAAATTATTTAATGGTACCGCTCGCCACTGTTCTTGCTGGTGGGTTCCACTTAATTCTCGCTTTCCAAAACGAATTTCTGGAAAACCCGTTTTCTCGGAAACCGCGATTTCTTGGATCACTACTCTCGATCAGCGTGCTCCTATCGGTTCAATGTGACGACACGCGAACCGGGCGAAATTAAAATTAACTTGGAAATTATCATAAACTAACTCTGCAAGTTTTATACGTTTGTAATAGAATTTTCTAAAGTGTGAGGAAGTCTGTGCTAAATATAAAAATTGAAAACTATTCTTATTTTATATGTATATATATATATATACATTAGAATAAGATTTTATTCGCATAAGAATTTATTCGTACAGGAATTCATCCGAAAAATAATTGATTTAATTAAAAATGATAGAAAATAAAATATATTTTCTTCACTGTTTTTATCGATATATTTATTTCTTATATTTTTATCTTATTATTTTTTATTATTATTTTATATTAAATTTAGTTTTTCTTTTTCGAATTATTCGAAGAAAGAATTCTTACAATTGTTCGAATATAGAATTTTTCGAATTATTCGAATAAAGAATTTGTCGAATTTTCGAATAAAAAATATTTGTCGAATTATTCAAATAAAGAATTTTTTAAATTGTTCGAATATAGAATTTTTCGAATTATTCGAATAAAGAATTTGTCGAATTTTCGAATAAAAAATATTTGTCGAATTATTCAAATAAAGAATTTTTTAAATTGTTCGAATATAGAATTTTTCGAATTATTCGAATAAAGAATTTGTCGAATTTTCGAATAAAGAATTCGTCGAATTATTCAAATAAAGAATTTTTAGAATCGTGCGAATATAGAATTTTCCGAATTATTCGAATAAAAAGTAATTCGAATAAAATATTCGACAGCAAGAAATTCATTCGGATAATTATCATCCATAAATAATTATTCGAAGTTGTCCGAATAATGCCCAACTCAGTCGGGCAAACACGTTTGTACAACAAGAACCAGAAATCCGGATAACGGAGTTGACACATTAGAAGCAAACGTAGCCTTACCTTGAGCGTACAGTTGTTGTTGTGATTAACCGGTGGATAAGCAGGGTGTCCGGGTAAGTGTGGGTGCGGGTGTCCCTGGTGATGGGGATGATCGGTCATCATACCAGCGCCGCCGTGATGGTGCCCATTGCTGCCCATGCCTTGTCCGGGCTGCATGGAGGCGTAGGGGGTTGCCGGATCGATTCCGGGTCCGTGCGGCGGCGAGTGGGGACTCGGCAGGTCCGGTGTGGTGGTGGTGCCGCCGCCGCCACCCCCGCCGCCCCCGCCGCCGGTGCTGTAGCCGTGGTGGGGCCCGGAATGATGGGGACTGCTCGAGAGCGAGGGATGATGCGGGTAGGCTGCAGAGTGGCCCGGGTGGTGGGGGTTCATACCAGCGGTTAGAGCGCTCGCCAGCTTGACCGATGAGAGGGTGGGCCCGATGAGCCCACCAACAGCTTCCCACGTAGAAAAAGGCAAAGCTTCTAGCCTCGGCCGCGGTCGAAGCTCAATGAAGTCCGGCTCTCTTAGAACCGGGTCGCGTATTCCGACTCGCGACAGATAACTGTAACAGGAGAAACAACAGCGGGTCAGGGTTGACTCGTTCAGGGTTTTTGCTCTCGTTGAACAGGTGGCGGCCACCATTCCCGGCCCGGCCCGACCAGGCCCGACCCGGCCCGATACACGGTGAAAGTAAATCAAAAAGCTGTACCGAAATCAAAGAATTTTGATTGGAATGAGATAAAGTGATGCAGTAGTTTTTAAAGCTGAATTGTTGTTAATAAAGAGATCGTAGTGTGAGCATTTTTTAATATTGGCAGTTTTTGTTAAATTTAAAGTGAAAAAAATTGTGCTTTATATTTATATATATTTGTGCTTTATAATATATTTTATATATTTATTATTAAATTGTGCTTGCCGTGTATATTTGGAACTTTTCATGACATGTTATACACTGATTTCAAATCCGGTCGTAAAATTTATTTACCACTTCAGGATTTTGAAAAAATCGTATTAAGCGATCAGTTAACGAGACCGTGTATTTTTTCGTCGAAATGATCTGATAACCCGTTGAGTTTCTTTCAATATCCTGAAATGGACGTTCTCTTTATTTTTCCCTTATTTTACAACATTTCAACGTAAAAAGAATTGCATTGCTTTATCTCATTCCTATCACAAGTTCTTTTTGCGTTTGGCGCAACTTTTTCATGTAATTTTGAGCACCACCAGAATCAAGAGGATACATAATGAAAAATATATTATATATATTATTATATATTATTATATATATTATTATATATTATTATATATATTATTATATATTATTATATATATTATTATATATATTATTATATATATTATTATATATTATTATATATATATATTACCACGAAATATTTGTCTAAATATTCAAGTATCGTTTCTAAATTGGAATTCTGCGAACATACCACTGATTATTAGTGTAGTTAAAAATTTAATAACAAAGAATAATTAATCAAATAACGAAAGAGTTAGAGACGTAGGCTGGATTGATCATATCGGTCGTGATTTCAGCGACTGAAAATTTGCTACGGTTTCACGCTTCGATGATCGGCCACGGCGTATAAGGCGACGACGACGATGATATGCTTCTGCTGCAATCGAACCTACACGATGCAAAACTTTCTACCTTGCAGGCTGGAGAAAATCCGCTGGTTCCTTGGCTCTAATTGGCAATATGTTGTGCGGCCAAGTAGGGCGTTCGCTCTACTAAATAGCTTCAATTATATGGGTATATTGCAGACGATGCATGAGTGAAACGATGTTGTTGATTACAGCGGCATGTAGCGTCAGCGATCGTCAACCTTGTTACGAACCATTGGTGTACGAACAGTGAAAAAACAATTGTTAATTTTCGCGGCCGAGTCGTTTCATGTGCATTTCATTAGCTTGTAGGTTATGCGATAAGGTAAATAAGTTGTGTAATAGTAAATAGTTCGTGTAATAGTAAAAAAAAGAGGTTATGTGATAGTAAATAGGTTTTGTAATACTAAATAGCTTACGTAATAGTAAATATATTATGTAATAGTGAAGAGGTTATGTGATACTAAATAGGTTTTGTAATAGTAAATAAGTTATGTCACAGTAAAGAGGTTATGTATTGCTGATTGCATGTGTTTACGACAAACATGAATAGCCGCCATTTAAAGAAGCAGACCGATTAATGAGTCACCTTATCAAAGTCATTACAGGAAGAAAGAAATTCAATTGCTATGTTTTG